CATAGAGACTCACATAGAGACTCACAGAGACTCGCATAGAGACTCACAGACTCACAGAGACTCGCATAGAGACTCACAGACTCATAGAGACTCACATAGAGACTCACATAGAGACTCACAGAGACTCCATAGAGACTCACAGACTCACAGAGATTCACATAGAGACTCACATAGAGACTCACAGACTCATAGAGACTCATTTAGACTCACAGAGACTCGCATAGAGACTCACAGACTCATAGAGACTCACATAGAGACTCACATAGAGACTCACATAGAGACTCACAGACTCATAAAGACTCACATATAGACTCAGAGAGACTCACAGAGACTCACAGACTCATAGAGACTCACATATAGACTCAGAGAAACTCGCAGAGACTCCCATAGAGACTCACAGACTCATAGAGACTCACAGAGACTCACATAGAGACTCACATAGAGACTCACAGACTCATAGAGACTCACATATAGACTCAGAGAGACTCACAGAGACTCACATAGAGACTCGCATGAAGACTCACAGACTCATAGAGACTCACATAGAGACTCACATAGAGACTCACATAGAGACTCATAGAGACTCACATATAGACTCAGAGAGACTCGCAGAGACTCCAATAGAGACTCACAGACTCATAGAGACTCATTTAGACTCACAGAGACTCGCATAGAGACTCACAGACTCATAGAGACTCACATAGAGACTCACATAGAGAATCACAGACTCATAAAGACTCACATATAGACTCAGAGAGACTCACAGAGACTCACAGACTCATAGAGACTCACATATAGACTCAGAGAAACTCGCAGAGACTCCCATAGAGACTCACAGACTCATAGAGACTCACAGAGACTCACATAGAGACTCACATAGAGACTCACAGACTCATAGAGACTCACATATAGACTCAGAGAGACTCACAGAGACTCACATAGAGACTCGCATGAAGACTCACAGACTCATAGAGACTCACATGGAGACTCACATAGAGACTCACAGAATCATAGAGACTCACATAGAGTCTCACATAGAGACTCCTATAGAGACTCCAAGACTCATAGAGACTCACATAGAGACTCACAGACTCATAGAGACTCACAGACTCACACGGAGACTCACATACTCCCATAGAGACTCACAGACTCATAGAGACTCACAGACTCGAATAGATACTCACAGACTCACATAGAGCTCACAGACTCACATAGAGACTCAGACTCCCATAGAGATTCACAGACTCCCATAGAGACACACAGGCTCACACTTAGACTCACAGAGACTCACAGACTCACACGGATGCTCACAGACTCCCATAGAGACGCACAGACTCATAGAGACTTACAGACTCCCATCGATACTCACAGACTCACATAGAGCTCACAGACTCACATAGAGACTCAGACTCACATAGAGACTCACAGACTCACACAGAGACACACACAGAGACTCACAGACTCACACCGAGACTCACAGACTCACGGAGATTAAAAGTGCAGAGGTTCTCATCCCTGGTCTCCCAATCGGCACCGGCTGGACTTGGCACTGCCACGATGCTGTGACGATGGAACGTGTTTGAAGTTTGAGTTAAGCTCGCGGACGAGGAGATTAAATGTTGATCTTAGACTCATGTGTTTTATTAGTTCAGTTGCTGTCTTTGGAAGAAATCGTTCAATAAAATTGGGTGCATTTGTAGCTGTGGTTCACACACACTCTCTCACACTGGACTGCACTCAGCATGTCCCTGTGGAGGCAGACTCACATAGAGACTCACAGACTCACATAGAGACACACAGACTCACATAGAGACTCACAAACTCACATAGACTCACAAACTCACATAGAGACACACAGACTCACATAGAGACTCACAGACTCACATAGAGACTCACAGACTCACATAGACACCCTTAGACTCACATAGACACCCATAGACACACATAGAGACACACAGACTCACATAGAGACTCACAGACTCACATAGAGACTCACAGACTCACATAGACACCCATAGACTCACATAGAGACACACAGACTCACATAGAGACTCACAGACTCACATAGAGACACACAGACCCACATAGAGACACACAGACTCACATAGAGACACACAGACCCACATAGAGACTCACAGACTCACATAGAGACACACAGGCCCACATAGAGACACACAGACTCACATAGAGACACAGCCTCACATAGAGACACACAGACTCACATAGAGACACAGCCTCACATAGAGACACACAGACTCACATAGAGACACACAGACTCACACAGAGACACACAGACTCACATAGAGACACACAGACTCACATAGAGACACGCAGAGACCACATAGAGACGCAGAGACTCGCATAGAGACACACAGACCCACATAGAGACACACAGACTCACATAGAGACACACAGACCCACATAGAGACACACAGACTCACATAGAGACACACAGACTCACATAGAGACACAGCCTCACATAGAGACTCACAGACTCACATAGAGACACACAGACCCACATAGAGACACACAGACTCACATAGAGACACAGGCCCACATAGAGACACACAGACTCACATAGAGACACGCAGAGACCACATAGAGACACAGAGACTCACATAGAGACACACAGACTTACATAGAGACACACAGACTCACATAGAGACACAGACTCACATAGAGACACACAGACTCACATAGAGACACAGACTCACATAGAGACACACAGACTCACATAGAGCCACAGACTCACATAGAGACACACAGACTCACATAGAGACACACAGACCCACATAGAGACACGCAGACTCACATAGAGACACACAGACTTACATAGAGACTAACAGACTCACATAGAGACACAGACTCACATAGAGACACACAGACTCAGATAAAGACCAATATGCTCCACCCCTCCACGCACTCTCCTAGCTCTGCTCTCTAATCTCACTCCACTCCCCTCCACACACTCTCCTACCTCTCCCCTCTCATCTCACTCTACTCCCCTCCACTCACTCTCCTACCTCTCCCCTCTCATCTCACTCCACTCCCCTCCACGCACTCCACGCAACAATTGCTCTCTGCCCTTCTCTGCAGGCGGCATTACGAACTGTTCTAGATTTAAAACTTTCGTGACTGCTAGGATCCATACTCTTTGGTTCTATTGGGTAAAGTCACGTAGGTGAAAATAAAATAACAAAAAATCACGACGTTTCGGCCACAACACAGTCTCGTCCCTTCACCTGATGAAGGCCGCTTGTGTTGTGGCCGAAACGTCGTGATTTTTTGTTATTTTATTTTCACCTACGTGACTTTACCCAATAGAACCAAAGAGTATATTACGAACTGTCTGTCACTCCCCATGCCACTTCCTTCCTATCAAGGCGCTCCCTAGGGGGCTGAAGTTCATGGAGTTTTGTGAGGACGGCGGGTTTTCAACATTTCAGTACATCAGGTGTGATGCCGTCCTGTCCTGGTGACTTGCCGCTGGCTAGTGAGTTGATGGCGTTGTCAAGTTCCTTCAAGGTTGGAACATTGTCCAGTTCGTGCTTCGTTGGTAGGGGCTTTACAGCAGCAAGGGCAGCTTCTGACACGCCGTTGTCTCGTGAGTAGAGCTCTGAGTTTGTGTTCTACCCACCTGGCCATTTGCTTTTGTTTATCAGTGATGATTGCCCCTGTGCTGGATTTAAGGGGAGCAGTCCTCCTGATGTTTAGACCAAAGGCTGTCTTGATGCCTTCATACATGGCACGGATATTGCCAGTGTCAGAGGCGAGTTGGATCCTACCGCTGAGATTCACCCGGTAGTTGTTGGCGCAGTGTCTGGCGGTCGTTTGAGCTGCACTACGAGCAGCTTTCAGAGCTCTTAATGATCCTGTACTCGGGACAAGCTTGTACTTCAGGAGCGCCATGCGTTTGGCTTGGAGGATGGGTTCCAATATAGCCAGGTGTTCCTCAAACCAGTCTGTGTGTTCCGCCTTGTTTGCTTGCCGAAGGTATTGATGGCTGCGTTGAAGATGGCGTCTCTGATGTATGCCCACTTTGTCTCCACGCTTCCATCTGGTGTGTCGTGTAGGGACTGCTCAAAGCTGTGTTGGAATGATTGAGTGAGCTCTGGGAGGGAGGTCTTGGCAGAGTTGATGCGTAGGTAGCGCTTTTGTTTGAGTCCGTGTATCTTTCTGGGGCGTAGTCTGACCTTGCTGGATACCAGCGAGTGATCGGTGTCACAGACTGCACTGTGGTAGCCGCGTGTGATGAGTACCGAGTTGAGGAGGGCTCGTCGGGTGATGACGAGGTCCAGTTGGTGCCAATTAAGAGACCTTGGATGTCTCCATGATACTTTATGGCATGGTTTTGTGAGAAAGAATGAGTTTGTGATACAGAGATTGCGGTAAGAACAAAGCTCCAGTAGTCTTTGGCCACTGGCATTCATCTTTCCGATGCCGTGATAGCCAAGGCATGCAGGCCACGCGTCGTGGTCAGCCTCAACCCTTGCATTGAAGTCTCCCAACAGAAGCATGCGCTCAGAGCTGGGGATTTTGCGAATAATATTGTGAAGCTCTTCATAGAACTGGTCATGAATCTCCGGAGGTGAGTAGAGTGTTGGGGCGTAGACACTCAGGATGTTTGCATGGCCAGAAGCAGTGAGCAATCTCATGATCCGCTCGGAGCCTGCAGTCGGTGGTTCTATCATGCCAAGGAGTGTGTTTTTGACGGCGAACCCAAAACCGTGTTGCCTTGGTTCGTTCTGCTGTTTTCCTTACCAGTAGAAAGTGTAGTCACTCTCTCGTAGTGAGCTACTGCCAGCAAGCCGGGTCTCCTGCAGTGCTGCAAAATCGACATGGAGTCTCGCCAACTCTCTGTCGATAACTGCCATCTTGCGGATGTCCTCAATCTGCAATAGATCTTCGGAGAGTCCAGAACACATTGTGCGTACATTCCAGCTTGGCAAAATGAAGGGCTGGAACTTTCTTTCGTTTTGTTTTGCTTTTGTCTGGTGCAGGTGTTGCAGACCACTTGTTTGGTGATGAACCATAAGCTCCAAGCACCCATTGGAGCAGGTGAGCCGTGGCGGGAAAGCACCTTATTGGCCGGACTTCCCAGCTTGAGGCGGGTGGCGGTAGCTATCCATTGGGGTGCTATGACCCCTCCCACCGACGATGGCAACCCGTGGCGCCCATTTATTATGCCAATCTAAAATGAGCTTATAACCCGTGACTGCTGCCATCCGTGTTTCTTGGCCACGATTAGGTGGCCGAGGAGGAGTGTCCTCTCCCCATTTTTGCACGTCGTGTTGGCGCAAAGCCCGGGCAGGTTATTCTGGAAATCCTGGGTTCTCCATGCGTCAGGATCCCCCCCCTCGGCCTTGCCGGTGATGTCCAAAGGAGTGCCACGCACGACGTTTGGTACCAGTTTGGCTGCAGGGGCTGCCGGGAATGTGCCGCAGTGCGTCACAAAACCGCCTCAGGGGCCCCACTCCTGATTTTCTGTCGGGGTTTACTCCCTCAGCCATTGCCTCTCCCGAGACACTCACGAGGCAGTGAGAGAACCGCGTAGCCCTGGGAGGGGACCCTACCAGGTACTGACAGCCGGGCCAGCTGTGCCTGGGACTCGCGTAAGGCAGGGGGGTCGTCACGCCCTGAGGTCGTTTATCACAAACTACCCGCTACCACCATGATGGGTATGGATGGTGTGTAGGGATGGATGGGGTGTAGGGATGGATGGGGTGTAGGTATGGTTGAGGTGTAGGTATGGATGGTGTGTACGGATGGTTGGGGTGTAGGTATGGATGGGGTGTAGGTATGGTTGTGGTGTAGGGATGGTTGGTGTGTAGGGATGGATGGGGTGTAGGTATGGTTGGGGTGTAGGGATGGATGGGGTGTAGGTATGGTTGGGGTGTTGGTATGGTTGGGGTGTAGGTATAGCTGGGGTGTGGGTATGGTTGGGGTGTAGATATGGTTGGGGTGTAGGTATGGATGGTGTGTAGGGATGGATGGGGTGTAGGTATGGATGGGGTGTAGGTATGGTTGGGGTGTTAGTATGGTTGGGGTGTAGGTATAGATGGGGTGTAGGTATGGTTGGGGTGTTGGTATGGTTGGTGTGTAGGTATGGATTGGTGTGTAGGGATGGATGGGGTGTAGGTATGGTTGGGGTGTTGGTATGGTTGGGGTGTAGGTATGGATGGGGTATAGATCTGGATGGTGTGTAAGGATGGATGGGGTGTAGGTATGGTTGTGGTGTTGGTATGGTTGTGGTGTAGGTGTGGTTGGGGTGTAGGTGTGGTTGGAGTGTAGGTATGGTTGGGGTGTAGGTGTGGTTGGGGTGTAGGTATGGTTGTGGTGTAGGTATGGTCGTGGTGTAGGTATGGTTGGGGTGTAGGTATGGTTGGGGTGTAGGTATGGTTGGGGTATAGATCTGGATGGTGTGTAAGGATGGATGGGGTGTAGGTATGATTGGGGTGAAGGCATGGATGGGGTGTAGGTATGGTTGGGTTGTAGGTATGGTTGGGGTGTAGGTATGGTTGGGGTGTTGGTATGGTCGGGGTGTAGGTATGGTCGTGGTGTAGGTATGGATGGGGTGTAGGTATGGATGGTGTGTAGGGATGGATGGGGTGTAGGTATGGTTGAGGTGTAGGGATGGTTGGTGTGTAGGGATAGATGGGGTGTAGGGATGGTTGGGGTGTAGGTATGGTTGGGGTGTAGGTATGGATGGGGTGTAGGGATGGTTGGTGTGTAGGGATGGATGGGGTGTAGATAGCTTGCAGTAGAAGGCAGATGGCACGTCGTGTGGATTAATAACCACAGTCACGTGCCAGGGTCCATTTGGTACCACTTAGCGTTCGGTTTTACATTCAAACTAAGGCGAATTAAAAACGCGCGTCTCCCCCGCTTCTCTTCTAAGATGTGAAACCAAAAACCACTAATTGTAAACGTCCCTCGATTTTCCAAATGTTTGAAAGTAATAGGTCACTCTGTTTAACACGTAGGCTTTCGCGACCAATATTATTCATAATAAAGGTTTTTGGTTAGAACGCGTTATTAATAAATGTGTCGTAACCCTCCACCACCCGACACGGCCAATCGGCAAAAAAGTGTCACATTGACAAAAGACAAATAGTTTACTAGTTTAGCCCACCGGTGTGTTGAAGAGTGGATCCACAATATTTACAGTGTGAGTACTCATATGTAGTAGCTACTGCAGTAGCTACTCACGTGTAGCTACTACACATGTAGCTACTACACATGTAGCTACTACGCATGTAGCTACTACACATGTAGCTACTACACACGTGCAGTAGCTACATGTGTGATTTTACACATGTAGTAGCTACACGTGCAGTAGCTACACGAGTAGTAGCTACTACACATGTAGTAGCTACTACACATGTAGTAACTACATGTGTAGTAGCTACTACACATGTAGCTACTACATATGTAGTAGCTACATATGTAGTAGCTACAGGCCCCGCACTTTCAAGGGCCCCGCGCTAAATGCTTCCAAGCCGTGAATTCCGGTTCAGTGATTCTGCACTCGCTCTATTACTATAGTACTATACCGCTTTCAACTTTTATGAACGACTGGGTGTTTAAGGTTAGCGATTTGTCGTATTATCTGGCTGTATAGCGAATGAAAAAACACAATTACTTTACTGTGCAAGTTAAACATTTATGTGCTTTAATATTCATGGTTTTATTCATTTATTTAGGGCCCCTTTATAACAAATGCTACAGGCCCCGCACTCACTTCATCCGGCACTGTTCGTTGCTTCGAGAAGGGATGATGATGATCATCATGATTGTTGTGGTGGTGATTATGATGTTGGTGGTGATAATGATGATGGTTATAATGATGATGATGATAATGATGATGGTGGTTATAATGATGATGGTGATGATGATGGTGATGATGGTGGTTATAATGATGATGGTTATGATGTTGGTGGTGATAATGATGATGATGGTGGTGATGATGATGGTGATGATGATGGTGGTAATGATTATGATGATGGTGGTGGTGATGATGATGGTGATGATGATAGTGATGATGATGATGATGGTGGTAATGATGATCATAGTGGCCGGTGGACGAGACCAGAAATGGAATTGGCAGCCCAAGGATAGAACGCTCCCGGGGAGAACGGACACTTTGGAGATGGAGCAATGAGATGGCACGGCACGGCACGGCATCAGCACGGCTCGGTTGTCTCCATGGGAAATGAAGAGGGCTTGGTAATTGTTTTTAACTGAGTGGTCACCCACTGCTGAGCGCTTGGCACGAATCACTCAACAGCTGTAACGGGAATCGAACATCCATCCTGTAAAGTGAAAAAAAAAAAGAGAATTACTATATGTAATAGTAATAATATATGTAGCAGTAGTAGTAACAATAATCTGGCGCGGTGGCTTGAAAGCAGACGAGAAGGGAAGTTGTAACTTGATATCTGTTCCACACACATGGATTTCCAGTAGGTTCAGGACAACACGTGCAGTTTATTTGACGATGGCGTCAGCGCAGGCTTCGCCTAGCTCCTAATATCACACCGACAGTGTTTTCACTCCCGGCTTCAACGTATTTTTAGTTGCGTTCTTTCGGTAAAAGTCACGTAGAAATAAAATAAAAATACATTAAACAATAGGACACGGCGTTCCGATTGCAACACAATCATCCACTGATGGTGATTGGTGAACGTCGTGAGAATTTTATTGTTTTATTTTATTATTTTATTCTCATTCTACGTGACTTTACCGAAAGAACCAAAGAAGATGATTGCTTGTGTTGCAATCGAAACGTCGTATTCTATTATTTAACGTATTATTATTTTCTATGAGACTTTACCAAAAGAACCAAAGCGTAATTCCTGCAGCTACGAAAGCTCCAAATCAAGTTTAGTTTTTTTTATTTTATATATTGTTTGTGTGTGTTGTCTTTGTGTTACTTGCGACGTTAAATGATGCCAAACTGGCAGATCGTTTCCCACGTCGAATGGAAACCGTTTGAAGTTTGCAACTTAATTAAGGATAATAATAATAATAGTAGCGACGATATATATATTTTTTGTAAATGTTGTAGTACTGTAATCGTATTCAAATATATATAAGTGGCAGCAATTTCCTACTCGCATGAGCACAAAGGCAGTGGTGCTCATCTCCTGCCCACAGCCCTACAGAGACAGAGCGGTTGCTGGAAACTCCCCGATGGCTTCACCGCAAAGTGGTACCATACTTTATCGACCCCCCGGAGGTGAGGATGATGGGCTGAGACAACCCCCGACCCGCAACCAGGATTTGAACCCGCCAGACGCTCGCTCAGCCGTTGACCCAGTTAACGTGGAATCGCTGAGCCAATATTGGACCAACGTTGGGCTAACGTTGGGCCAACGTTCCAAACCACATACCAACGTTGGGCTAAGGTTGGGATAAAGTTGGGCCAATGTTGGGCTAACGTTGGGCTAATGCTGGGCTAACGTTGGGCTAACGTTGGCCCAACGTTCCAAACCACATACCAACGTTGGGGCTAACGTTGGCTCAACGGTCCAAACCACATACCAACGTTGGGGCTAACGTTGGCTCAACGTTCCAACCACATACCAACGTTGGCCCAACGTTAGCACGTTTGCTGGGGATCCGTCGGGGACTGGGCTAATATAATGACAATATAACAACAACAATCATTATCATCACCATGGTACCTCGAGGCTTTTGAGGGTTTGAGAGCGAGAGAGAGAGAGAGACGGAGCTTTGACGAACGCACGGAGCTTTAGCGATGACCACGAACTTCGCCTGCTGAGCAGAAGCGATCCTTTTCCTTAAATGGGTGTAAAGACGGAGATCATTAGCGGCGACTTCACTCACTCACTCTCTCTCTCTCTCGTTTTAATTACAAACAACTTTCGACTGCCAGAGAGAGAGAGTGGGAAGGGGTGACTTTGACACACAACACATGGATAACACAAGCGCATGCTGCTGCTGCTGCTATAATGAAGAATCTGTGGGATTTGAAGAAGGAAAGAAAACCCATCTTGAACAGAATTCCCCTTCTGACATAAAAAAAATGAATAGGCTTTACCCTTGCGGGAAGTGTACAGGATGTGTTAGGATGTTCAAACACCGAATAGGCACACACGCACACAGCTATTGTCAGTTCAAGACGTCAACCAAGCCTACATTGGCCACACATCGTGCGTGTGGTAAAACATGCAAACACGCGTGCTTTGATCATTCACTATGCAACACGATTTGTCTTCCTGGGTACTAAGTGTTAATTTTTAATTGCTTAAGCCTCAAAAGAAACAGAGAAGTGGCTATTATTATTATTACTCCCCACAAACTTTGCTTTTGTGACCAGGACTTTAGGTGAACGAAAGACACAAACGCACACCGCGTGCTCTCATTGACAATGGCTACATCACAAAATATCACTGTCCTGGTCACGAGAGCAAAGTTTGTGGGAGAATAATAGCCACTTCCTGTACCCTTTGAGGCATGAGCAATTAGGAAATAACACTTACTACCCAGGAACACAACTAAAATAAAGTTTGTGTTACGCAGTGTGACTATAACGCGACGCATTTGGCCTCCACCAGAATCCCGGCCTCCCCGACCTGGCCTCGTCTCTCTCTTTTTGTTTTACGATCAGAGGAAACGAGAAGATGCTCGGTGTAGTCGGCACTTTGCTTCGTTCATCATTTCGTTTTTTTTTAATGTTTCGCTTTATGTAAACCCTCCCCCCCCCCCCCCCCTTTTTTTAGAGGTGTCACACCAGAGACCAACAGCGTCCAGTGGGGGACCACTGCCCTTGCCGGAAGGCGTCAGGTTGTATTAATGTTTACCCAAAAAAAAAAATTAGCTTTTTTATTTACAGAGCGCTTTTCCCACGCTCAAAGCACTGGACAGGAAGCAAAAAAAAATGATAAGCGATATTACACAAAACTATTCTCTTTGGTTCTTTCCGTAAAATTCACGTAGGTAGAAAAATAAAATGAAACCAAAAATAACATCTACCCGAACCTACGTGGACTTTACCGAAAGAACCAACGACTATGGATTCCTGCAGCCACGAAAGCTTCAAATCAAGATTACACATACTGACACCAATAAAAACTACTACGTAAAATACATTCCTGAGGAGGGAGCTGGTAGGAACGTTGGGTTGCTCGGTCAATGGCCAGGGTCAACGGCGGCACCACCACGTGGTGTATTCCACAAATATGCCCGACTGTGAGGGCGGGCACAAGCCGGCGTGAGTAGGTTAAACGTTGAGTTTTATAAGGGCACCACGGGGTGACCTGCCCCTCCCCACCCAGCCCCACCCCTCCTACCCCCCACCCAACCCCACCTTTCCCACCCAGCCCCTCCCCACCCTCCCCTCCCCACCCTCCCCACCCAGTCCCTCCCCACCCTCCCCTCCCCACCCGGCCCCACCCCTCCCATCTTTGGATGCACGACGGACGGACGGACACAATAATCCCCTGTGGGCTGGTGGTGTAGTAACCAGGAGGTTCCTACACAGTAAAACAATGGCGTATGTACGAAACATAGGAGCAGCACAGAGGACATTCAAGTGACGGAATATGCAAGGTGGGAGAGTGCTTTGGGATTGTGGGGAATTCCAGCCAGATCGCAGGAACATTTTGATCAGACGAGTTGGTCAGTGAGATTTCGGCGGTGGGAAGATGGACTCGGCGGGGGCTCTGATGATCTCAGTGGGCAGGGGGTTCGTCATCACCATCATACGACCGTAAGGGGGTTCCCCGAGGGAGAACTTCCGCGTCTCCGAACGTTGAAGGCTCGAGGAGAAAGGTCACGGGTGGATCGAGCGTCTGTCCGAGTCACTGAGCCCCACCACGGATTCGAAACCTGAGTTCGAATCCGGGGGTCGCAGCCGCTACTGGTGATCAAACTAGGTTCTCAAACCACCGTCGTGATCATCATGATCATCATCATCATCATCAATCATAATCGTCGGCCAGGGTCGATCGACTGCTGGATGCAGCGCTCCACAAGTTGTCGCCACCTCTCGTGATCCGGCGATGTATATAGCCGTAGTAATCAATATGTACGTTGAACTTCTTTTGCACCGTACGTAGCCAACCGTGCTGATCGGAGGTGCACAGGAAGAACAACAAACTAAAAGCAAGCAGCAGTTCTAAGGAAATTAGTTTATTAACATAGATGATGATGATGACGATGATTTGAAAGTGCACAGCGCCAGTAGCTTCCTAATTTATGAAGGAAGAGCGTTCCAGACGGCCGCAGGAGCGCATCGGAAAGCGCCGCGCGATGACGATGCGGTGACCGCCCTCTTCGTTCGATGGCCGAGCCGAAAGCCGCGGCTGCCGCTGCTACTGCCGCTGCTGCTGCTGCTGAGGATGAGCGGAGTTTGCGTGATGAAGATGGTTCATCGCTCCTTGACGAGTCCGGCGAGGCGTCGTGGTGCACGCGTGGCGCGAGCACATTGCGAGTAACGAGCGCGACCTCGTGGCGACGTCTCCGTTCGGACCACGCTGTGTCGCATCACGCTGTGTCGCATCACGCTGTGTCGCATCACGCTGTGTCGCATCACGCTGTGTCGCATCACGCCGTGTCGCACCACGCTGTGTCGCGGTGCCCGTCACGACGCGTGCCAAGACAATGTCGTCGACGCTGCAGCTTGGTCACGGGATTTTTTTTTTTTAGTTTTTGCTTGCCAGACGTCCCGTAGAGTAGCGAGTTGCAATTGTTCGAGCCTCGTCGCGACCTGCTGTTGGCTGTGTCGCGACTCAACGGTGGTCGAACGCGTAGTTCGTGTCGCGACCCTGACCACACGTTGCATCGCGGTGATCAGTCGACACATCCTGGTCCATCTGCGGTGGCGATTCTCTTTAGATACGAGCACAACACGGGATGAATTCCTCGAGTCCGCGACCGCCACACCCTCCTGGATCGTCCCACGCGTTGTTTCGCCCGAGTGCCAACCGGCAAAGCGGTGACGCCCGATGGCTCTGCTGCTGTTCGGCGAGAAACCTGTCACAGTGGGTTTTGGGCACACGAGGACGGGTGGGTGGCCAGCACCACGCCCGGCCGCCTTTGTCTTCACATAGGGGGGGGGGGGGGTGTTGTTGTTGTTGTTGTTGTCTTCTTACTCAACAGCCACGACGAGGTAACACATTTCACGTGGCTGTTTAAACAAAGTGTTTGATTTAAAAACTTTCGTGACTTGCAGTGATTCATATTCTTGGTTCTTTCGGTAAAGTCACGTTGAAGGGAAATAATAAAATAATAAAAATATATAGCAATTTATTTTATTATTTTATTCATATTCTTGGTTCTTTCGGTAACAATAAAATAATAAAATATATATAACGATATATTTTATTATTTTATTGTTTCCCTTCAACGTGACTTTACCGAAAGAACCAAGAATATGAAACAAAGTGTTAATCAGGAAACACTTTAAAAAGGTAACGTTGGTGAGGTCTCACGGTGTAAACAAAGCAAGGGTCTCTCGTTGTACACTCTGGCTGGCCTCTCTATTCATGGGCACTGAAGAAGGGCCATCGCACGAAACGTCAGCCATTATGAGTCCACAACGTTATTGACGGACGTGTTGAGTCTTGTCGCTGTCGTTGTTGTTGTTGTTAAGCTGGGTTTCTGCACTGCCGCCAACGCAGCAGCAGCATCACCAAAGTATTTGCAACAGCGGCAGCTGATGAATGATAACACTGTGTTACCAAAAAAAAAAACGTGGGAATTGTGAGCCTGGCTAACACGTGGCCCAAATCTGAAATGACATTCGTTGATTATTGCACTATGTAACACGATTTTTTGTTCCTGGGTAGTAAGTGTTATTGTCTAATTGCTTATGCCTCAAAATTACAGAAAATGGCTATTACTCCCAAGAAACTTTGCTTTTGTGACCAGGACATTGATATTTAGAAATGTAGCTATTGTCAATGAGAAAACGCGGTGTGCATTTGTGTGTCATTCCTTAACGTAAAGTCCTGGTCACAAAAACAAAGTTTGTGGGGAATAATAATAATAGCCACTTTCTGTACTTTCGAGGCATAAGCAATTAGAAAATAACATTTACTACCCAGGAACAAAAATCGTGTTATGGTTGGCCGACGCAAAACTTCCAACCAGGATTTGAACTCGTGACCTCTCCAATCACGAGTCACGTGCTCTGCCCAGCACCCCGGGGTGGCCGGGGTCAACGACGAAGCACGGCGAGGTGCTGAGGAATTAACCACAGACTTGGCAGGGTTACCATAAGGATCAGAGGTGGAAGGTCAAACGTTGTCTCACAGAGACAAACGTGTCAAAGTCAGCTCTGCCCTCTCATTTCACTCCACTCCCCTCCACCCACTCCCCTACCTCTCCCTCTCATCTCACTCCACTCCCCTCCACCCACTCCCCTACCTCTCCTTCTCATCTCACTCCACTCCCCTCCACCACTCTCCTGCCTCTCCCCTCTCATCTCACTCCACTCCCCTCCACCCACTCTCCCCTCTAATCTCACTCCACTCCCCTCCACGCTCTCTCCTACCTCTCCCCTCTCATCTCACTCTACTCCCCTCCACGCTCTCTCCTACCTCTCCCCTCTCATCTCACTCTACTCCCCTCCACGCTCTCTCCTACCTCTCCCCTCTCATCTCACTTTACTCCCTTCCACGCTCTCTCCTACCTCTCCCCTCTCATCTCACTCCCCTCCCCTCCACACACTCTCCTACCACTCCCCTCTCATCTCACTCCACTCCCCTCCACACACTCCCCTACCTCTCCCCTCTCATCTCACCCCACTCCCCTCCACACACTCCCCTACCTCTCCCCTCTCATCTCACTCCACTCCACTCACTCTCCTACCTCTCCCCTTCAATCTCACTCCACTCCCCTCTCACTCTCCTACCTCTACCCTCTCATCTCACTCCACTCCCCTCCACGCACTCTCCTACCTCTCCCCTCTCATCTCACTCCACTCCACTCACTCTCCTACCTCTACCCTCTCATCTCACTCCACTCCCCTCTCACTCTCCTACCTCTACCCTCTCATCTCACTCCACTCCCCTCCACTCACTCTCCTACCTCTCCCCTCTCATCTCACTCCACTCCCCTCTCACTCTCCTACCTCTCCCCTCTCATCTGACTCCTCTCCACGCTCTCTGGACTGCCTGTGCATGACCTACAAAATCGGACACCAGCTGCCTACCCGCACCCATCTCTGACCAGTGGAGTTCAAACTTTGCCAAGTGCCACCACAATACATCACCTGTTACATTCCCAGCGATTACGAAGGCAATAATTAACCAGCACATTTTGAAGAGCTCACAGGGGGAAAGTCAATAGCCCCAGGGGACGAGGGGTGGCGCAGCGGTTAGCGCGCTGCTCCATGAACCACGTTCCATTTTCCCGGTCACGGCTAACATCAGTGGCAGTGGCAGCAATTGATAATAATCTGAACCGGTCCTGGTGGCCGTGTCTCTCCCACCCCCCCACCTCCTACCTCCCTTAGCAATCCACAATCGCCCGAAGTGGTGAAATAGGGTCAAGCAACCCCCAATGACCCACGCGGTGTTGCGGGGAGGCCTTCATCCAGCAGCGGGTTGACCAAAAAAAGTCTCCCGCGGAATGTTTGTTGCGGTTGCACCCGATTCAAGAGCCGAATGGCTCACAGGGCTATACCAAAATAAATAAAATAATAAAATAAAATAATAAAATAATTGGAACGTATGTTCAACTTCTATCGCATCGTACGTAGCCAACCGTGCTGATGGGATGACGATGACGCATCCCAGCGAATCAGCGTGGCACACAACGGCCGTTGCTGGGACTTTGGGGGGCGGGGCCGGGGGCGGGACTGGCCTTGTGACGTCACAGTGACGCACGAACCCGCCTCAACGCCGCGCGATGCGTGTGACGTCACCGGCGCGCAACGTGCAACTTGCGCGACAGCCGGGCAGACAGGAATCCAGGCAGTAAGCCGCTCAGCAAAACTGTTCTCTCTTTTTTATATTCATATTCTTAGCTCTTTCGGTAAAGTCACGTTGAAGGGAAACAATAAAATAATAAAATATATATAAAACAATAAAAAATTATCACGGCGTTTCGACCATAACACAAACGGTCGTCATCAGGTGTGTCGGTTCGCATTAATTTATTTATTTTAAAACCGTGTCTTTGATTATTTATTTAAAAAACGTCAGCGCCACGCGCAGCGATTTTGCCAGTTTTATTTAGAAGGACGAGTCCATCTATGTTCTGAAAAGAGGACGGGGGAGACGAAAAAATTTAATGTGCGCTGTCTGAAAGCCACCGTAAGCGTGGACAATCAATTAAGACCCGAAATGGAGGAAAACCTTGCCCAACGCGGCTCTTATCGAACGCGTGCTTTGGGCCAATGGACTCACGGGCCGGCGGGTGACGTCTCGGCTTCACGCGCGGTCCGACGCTGCCAAGATTCATCGTCACCCCGTCAGACGCACGGACACTCAACTGTGTGTCGCGCAGGCCAGAGTGCCGCGCCCGTGGGCGACGTGTGAATGAATCGGGCGGTGAGAACGACGAGGGCTTGGGACCCGCGCGCCCCTTTTGCGCGATGGTGCCGACGCGCCCGACGCGGACGTCGCGAACGTTTCGCCGGCCAGCTCGTCGAGGACGTCAGCACCCCCCCCCCCCGCGGAGGCATTAGAGGGCGGATCGTCAACGTTACGGGGCGAGCCTGGGCCTGGGCGAGCGTGGGCCTGGGCGAGCGTGGGGTTGGGAATTCAGAGTTAGGGGCGAGCGTGGGGTTGGGAATTCAGAGTTTAGGGCGAGCGTGGGGTTGGGAATTCAGAGTTAGGGGCGAGCGTGGGGTTGGGAATTCAGAGTTTGGGGCGAGCGTGGTGTTGGGAATTCAGAGTTAGGGGCGGAAAATGGGCGGGGAATTCAGAGTTAGGGGCGAGCATGGGGTTGGGAATTCAGAGTTAGGGGCGAGCATGGGGTTGGGAATTCAGAGTTAGGGGCGAGAGTGTGGTTGGGAATTCAGAGTTTGGGGTGGAAAATGGGCAGGGAATTCAGAGTTAGGGGCGAGCGTAGCGTTAGGAATTCAGAGTTAGGGGCGAGCGTGGGGCTGGAGGCGCGAAGGAGTAAAATCGCAAAGGGGCCGTCCATAAATGACGTCACGCGATTTTGGACGATTTTTGACCCCCTCCCCCCCTCGTCACACGGCCTCACAAAAAGTCAGACCCCCCCCTCAAATATGACGTCACAAAGCTCTGCCCCCCCCTCCAAACCATATTTCCATTTTAAAAATAAAACATGCTTCAAATCGCTTTAAACGATCGTCATTGTAGTGCGTATTTAATGTGGCGCTGCACTCTGATGTTGTAGGAGTGTTGTTATAACAATTCTATATTTACTTAAAGTTGGGCATTTTGATGTGACGTCACATTTCTCAAACTCCCACCCCCCCCCAGGTGCCTGACGTCATTTATGGACGGCCCCTAACCAAAGGGTTGTACACAAGAGATGCAGAGCGACCCGGCATCCTTTAGTGACTAGAGAGGGAGTTGTTCTTGTTGTTGTATAGAGTTTGTTCAACAGAGAGCTGAACCTTTCAGACCCAGGACGCGGCTTTTGCCCACCACGGTATTTTCCAGGAACGTAACCCCCCTCCAGCCACCGCGTTCTGCGAGGCTTGCCCTCGCAGCAGGATCCCGTGGCAATGACAGATGAAGGCGCAGCCCTGCAGTTGCCGTTTCATTGAGTAACATCAGAGGGGAAACTGCTGTGGAATACGTTTTATTACAAATATGCACTGATCGTTAATTATCTCGTTTCCTACCGTACATTTTTTCCCCGTGCTATTAAATTACATATTTGAAGAAGAAGAAGAAGAAGACGAAGACGAAAACGTGTTTAAATGCTTGAGGGTGTTTTTTGGGGGGCATTTTCACATTCGTTTAAAATACAGTAGGTATTTTCTTTCCACAAGTGAGTTGTTGAAATATTTCAAGAATGTATTTCAGAAGAATAATAAGTATGAAGTAATTTTAATAAATCAGCATTTTTATTTTATTTGAAACCTTGAGCCGCCAAAGCAGACAAATCCCCCCCACGCTTCCAACCTGCAGCCTCAAAATACAAAGACAAAGATCCCCCGTGTAGCCTTAACGTACTTTCGGGGCAAGTTCTGTTAGCGAGTAGCACTTACGAAGGCCGGCACGGCACACGAGGGGGTGGGTGGCCAGCACCACACCCGGCCGCCTTTGTCTCACCAGTGGCGATGTTTAGACACCACACTAGGTACTCATTTGAGGCTGAATCGCACACACACACAGACACACACAGATTCACACACACAGACAAAACACAGATTAACACACACAGACACAGATTGACAGAGACACACACAGACACACAGATTCACACAGACACACAGATTCACACACAGACACATAGATTCACACACACAGACACACACAGATTCACACACACACAACACACGCGCAGGCACACACACACACAGACACACAGATTCACACACACAGACAAAACACAGATTAACACACACAGACAGATTCACAGAGACACACACAGACACACAGATTCACACAGACACACAGATTCACACACAGACACACAGATTCACACACACAAACACACAGATTCACATTCACAGACACACACAGACACACACACAGACACACACACAGACACACAGATTCACACACACACACACACAGATTCAGACACAGACACACACAGACACAATATTCACACACAGACACACTCACAGATTCACACACACAGACACACACACACACAGATTCAGACACAGACACACACAGACACAATATTCACACACAGACACACACACAGATTCACACACACAGACACACAGACACACAGATGCACACAGACACACACACAGATTCACACACAGACATAAGATTCACATACAGACACACACACAGATTCACACACACAGATTCACACAGACACACATACAGACTCACACAGACACACATACAGACTCACACACAGACACACACACAGATTCACACACACAGACAGATTCACACACAGACACACAAACAGATTGACACACACAGACACACACACAGACACACAGACACACACACACAGACACACACAGACACACACACACAGACACACACAGCCTGACACAGACACAGACACACACACAGACACACACACAAATTCACACAGACACACACACACAGAGACACACACACAGATTCACACAGACACACACACACAGACATACACAGATTCACACAGACACACACATATAGATTCACACACACAGACACACAGACACACACACACAGACACACAGATCCACACAGACACACACAGATTCACACACACACAGACACACACACAGACACAAACACAGATTCACACAGAGACACACACACAGACACACACAGATTCACACAGACACACATATTCACACACAGACACACAAACAGATTGACACACACAGTCTCACACAGACACACACACAGATTCACACAGACACACACACAGACACACACACAGACAACAACAACAACCGCCATTCGCCACTAAGTGGCGGTGACGTCACCACGACGCTTGTGCCAGGCTATGTGCACCCTGAGGCCACGTGAAGTGTCGAACGCCCGCTGGCAGGAGGTCACGGGGCAGACCCAGGTGCCACGGGTCGACTGACTGAGATGACTGGCTGATGCACCACCTGTGCCCCCTACTGTGCCAACCTGCTGTGCTTTAGCCACCCGGCGCTCCGCTCGCTGTTGTGAGCGTCGCTCCTCCGCCCTCCGTTGTTGTTGGAGGGCGACTGCCTCCAACTGCCCAGTAGCATCCTTCACGAGCCTCCTCCACAGAGGCCGATCTTGACACCGCTGGTACCAGTCATCGGCAAGTCCACTCAGCTCCACGTCCTCCTGTACCACATCACTCCATCTCTTCTCTAGCCCGTGCCGCGCCCGCTTAGCCCCCTCAATCCGGCCAAACAAAAGCTGTTTCGGCATGCGGTGGCTGGGCATGCGGGCTACATGACCCAGCCATCGCAGCCTTGCCTGCCGGAGGAGCTCACCGATGGGACCCTGCGCAGATCTTTCAAGGATTTGTGAGCTCCTCACACAATCCAGTCTGGTTAAACCCAGGATGGATCGTAGGCAGGTCAGCCTAAATGTTTCTAACCGGCGAAGATGTTCCATTAGGGGGGTCCACGTTTCGCAAGCGTAGAGAAGGGAGGGAATGACCGTGGCCGAGAAGACCTGAAGCTTAGTGCGGAACGATAGACCAGGTAGCTTCCACACAGCGTTACGCAACCGATGAAAAGATATTGCCGCTCGACTGATTCGGAGTGAGACCTCTGCTGTTAAACTGGAGCCAGTCATAAGCACACTGCCCAGGTATGGGAAACTCTCCACTCTCTCCACAACTGCCCCATCACCGATTGGGAGTTGTGGGGGTGGAGTGTCCGATGGTACAAAATACCCAGGCAGGTGCTTAGTTTTGGTGGGGCTGATGGTAAGGCCCCACCTCTTAGTGGCACGCTCCAGTCTCAGCAGCAGCGTCTCCAACTCCTCCTCTGACTGAGCAGCTATTACCAAGTCATCAGCATACATAACGTGGTTGAGCAATAGGGAGCCATCCCTTGACCGCACCCGGGCATCGATTAGCCTCCCATTATATCTGTACCATATGGAGATTCCCCCGGTACAGCTATTGAAGGCTTCACGAACCACGTGGTCAAAATAGATGTTAAATAATGTGGGAGCCAGAGGACATCCCTGTCGCACCCCAAGGTGTACAGGGAATGGCTCTGACTCCCGGCCACGTAGTTTTACCCGGGCCCGCTCACCATCATGAAGGTCCTTAATGATCGTGAGCAGAGGGTCAGGTACTCCAAAAGCACGAAGAACGACCCAGAGCCCAGGCCTACTGATGGTATCATAGGCCTTGACCAGGTCAATAAAGCAGAGATGTAGGTCTTGTTGGAATTCCCTACACCTCTGCTGTAGCAGATGGACAGAAAATATGGCATCTGTGCAGGACCGCCCTTTCCTGAAACCGCATTGGGGCTCCGCAAGCCTCTCCTCAGCGTGCCTGGCAAGGCGATGCTGAATAATCCTTGCCAGGACCTTTCCCGGCACACTGAGGAGTGAGATGCCCCTGTAGTTGTTATAGTCTGTGCGGTCCCCCTTCTTAAAAAGGGGGACCACCAGGGCATCCTTCCAATCCTGCGGAACCCGTCCAGTGGTCCAGACTGTTGTTATGATGTCATATAGGGCAGTCTGTGCACAAACGCCACCCTCCCTCAGCATTTCGCTTGGGAGATCATCTCTGCCCGCTGCCTTTCCTGGTCTCAGACTCCGGATCGCCTTCAATACTTCCTCAGCAGATGGCACCTCAGCCAGCCACTCACAGGGGGTGACTTCATCCAATATTTGAGGCACCGCAGCCTCAGCAGGGTCATCCTCACTTTGTGCCACGATGTTTTCCTGGCTGAGGGATTTTCCCTCCCCCAGGACCTCACAGAAATGCTCAGCAAATCTGCGAACCTGTTCCTGGGGGTCGGAAATTGGATCACCGTTTTTTCCCCTAATGATGGTAATAGGTGTGGCGCTGCAGGTTACTTTTTTGATGGAGTTAAATAGAGATTTGTGATCACGGG